AAAAAATGTCCGAAAGCAGCGCCCAGATAGGACGTGGCATCTAGGGTTCAGAGGTTAGGATGTAGGCTATTGGACAGTAGATTTCCTGTTTTGTTGACGCCCCATTTCGCCAGAAAGAAGTCCTGAAGTAAAACAACACATGCGGTGGAGGCAAGGACCCAACAGTTACTAAACCCAATCCGAAACCTTCTCCCCAGCCTTCGTGGGTTTAGGGTGTCGAGTCCAGGGTTTAGGGGTTTGGGGGTTTAGGGTTTCGGGTCTAGGGTTTAGGGGCTTCGGGGGTTTAGGGTTTCGGGTCTAGGGTTTAGGGGTTTGGGGGTGTAGGGTTTCGGGTCTAGGGTTTAGGGGCTTCGGGGGTTTAGGGTTTCAGGCCTAGGGTTTAGGGGTTTGGGGGTTTAGGGTGAAGGGTCTAGGGTTTAGGGGTTTTGGGGTTTAGGGGTATAGGGGTTTCGGGTTTAGGGTTTAGGGGGCCGACCTTGGGGCGCGCATCGTCTCGCTCGAAGACGCGGTGCAGCAGCTCCGTCGGATCTTCGACTGCCTGTCTTCGGGTAGAGGGTTTTAAGGTTTAGGGTTTAGGGTTTAGGATTTTAGGGTTTGGGGTTTGGGGTCTGGGGCGAAGGCTCCAGTCGGGTTTAGGGGGTTTAGGGCTTAGGGTCTAGGACTTGGCGTTCAGGGATGTCAGGAGACTGAGTAAGTAGGGTTATAACGGTTATAAGTAGTCCCAGGATACTTGGAGTCACCCCTGCAGGCGAATATATCACTTCGCAGCTGGAAGCCCTTACCCCCTAAACCCCGAAACCCCTAAACCCCTAAACCCCTAAACCCCTAAACCCCTAAACCTCAAAACCCCTAAACCCCTAAATCCCTAAATCCCTAAATCCCTAACCCCTAAACCCCTAAACCCCTAAAACCCCTAAACCCTGAAAACCCCGGAGGTTCTAAAACCCCAGAGCCTCTAAAGGACCGAACCCCTAAACCCTAAAAAACCCTAAAAACCCCTAAACAACCCTAAAAAACCCTAAAAAAACCCTAAACCCCGGAGCCTCTAAAACCCCGGAGCCTCTAAAACCCCGGAGCCTCTAAAACCCCGGAGCCTCTGAACCCAACCATCCAGCGCTAAACGGCCCAGGTTTTGGACGGTGGGACTCCAGGGCTCAGGAAGGAAGCACGGAAGCACTCTTCTCTGCTCGTGCGCACAAGGTCTCAGGGTGTAGGGTTTAGGGTTTAGGGTTTAGGGTTTAGGGTTTAGGGTTTAGGGTTTAGGGTTTAGGGTTTAGGGTTTAGGGTTCTTCTCTGCTCTTGTGCACCCATGATAGAACCCCATAGTACCCTTTTAAGGGCTTTAGGGCTTGAGCCTTTGCACAGGGTCTTAAGGTTTAGGGTTTAGGGTTTGGGTTTAGGGTTGGAGGCTTAGGTGAGATAGGGTTTAGGGTTGAGGGTTAAAGATTAAGGTTAGACTCCAAACCTTAAGACACATCTACGGAAAACAAAACTATATTTGGCGAGACCAGCCCATAAATCCATTTGAACAACGTGCAGAAACCGCAAAATACACCACAAAGCCCTAAACCCTCGCTAACCCTAAGCTGGAAACCCCTAAACCCTAAACCCTCAACCCTAAAAATCCCAAACCCCTAAACCCCAAACCCTAAACCCCAAAAACCCCAAACCCTAAACCCCAAAAACCCTAAACCCCCAAAAAAACCTAAACCCCCCAACCCCAGACCCCAAACCCAAAACCCTAAAAACCCCAAACCCCTAAAAGCCCCAAACCCGTGCGAACCCCAAGCGGCCAAGGCACCGAGCTCCGGCGGAAGCGCGGCAGCCAAGACGCCGAGGTCTCGTCCACCAAAGGCGGCACACGAAGGCGCCGCTTCCTGGGTTCAGGGCGCCTTTTTGGGTTTAGGGTTTAGGGTTTAGGGTTTAGGGTTTAGGGGGCACCTTTTTGGGTTTAGGGTTTAGGTTTAGGGTTTAGGGTTGAGGGTTTAGGGTTTAGGGGGCGCCTTTTTGGATTTCAGGGCTTTGGAATTTCGGGTCTTGGGGATTTTGGGCTTTTTTGGTTTTAAGGTTTGTGGGGCTTAGGGTAAGGCTTTGGGGAAGGGATTGGGATCTTATGGCTTTGGAACTCCGGGATTTGGCGGCTTTCGGCTTTTGGGTTTAAGAGGTTTGTGGGCTTAGGGTTTTAAGGGCTTTGGACTTTAGGGCTCAGGGCTGTAGGGCTTTGTGGTTTAGGGTTTTCGGGCTTAGGGTTGGGGGCTTGGGGCTTCGGGTTTTAGGATTTTGGGGCTTGGGGTTTTAGGGTTTTGCGGCTTGGAGGTTTTGGGGCTTCAGGTTTTAGGGTTTCGGGGCTTGGGGTTTGGGGCTTAAGGGGTCAAAATTTAAAGTTTCAGGGTTTCCAGTTTGAGGACTTAGGGTTTAGGCTTAGGTGTTTTTGGTTCCTACACGGTGGCTTTGTCCAGGTTTTATGAAAGCTTTAGAGAACTTGTTTGGGGTCCTGTCGGGCTTTGTATCGTTTAGGGGCTCTGAGGCTTTAGGCTTTACGATTTAGGGATGAGGGTTTAGGGACGACCTCTTTGGCTTGCTCTAAAACGTTTTACGTACGTCAGGAGTCATGGGGCTTGCGAAGAGTTACGAACGTGAGACTATGCCTATCCGACTCAGGTATGAAGTCTACAGATTAAGGTTTAGGAGCTTAGCTTACCGTTTGAGTCAGGGTTTCCATGTTAAGAAGCGTACACAGCGCCGCATACCCGAGACCTTTGATCGAAATTCCTCAAAGACGGTACCTCAACCGATCGGTCTGTTTTTATTCACAGGATCTCCGGCTTGGGGTTCTTAGGGTTCGGGGCTTAGGGCTTAGGGTTTAGGGCTTAGGGCTTAGGGTTTAAGGCTTCGGGCTTCGGGCTTAGGGCTTAGGGCTTGGGGCTTAGGGTTGAAGGCTTTAAGCTCAAGGTTCAAGGCTTAGGGCTTAGGGTTTAGGGCTTAGGGCTTAGGGTTTAGGGTCTACGGTATGCGCTGCGGGCTTGAAGCTTCGGGTTGAACGATCTGGATGACAAGCGTAAGATGCGTTACCTCAAACGCTCGTCACTGCCAAGCCTGTGCAGACGGATAGCTGAACGACAATGCCTGGCAAAGACAACCGAATCAATTTCGAACCCTGGGGCCCAGATACCTGCACCCAAAACCCAAAACCCTAAACCCTAAACCACATGCTAGGATATTGTGGGGGGCTTACGATCGAACTTATAGGGTTTCGGGGTTCAAGGAAGAAGCCTTGTTTCGGCTCTAGGGTGAATGTAAGAGCGTGAAAAATTAGAATTGGGTCTTGTAGCCCACAGCTTTACCCCACGGCTGTACAAGAAATACGCGAGTAAAGGCTACTGAGCTAGCAAATACACTCTCGTCGATTTCGAATTTAGGGGCTTAGGTTTCCAGGGTTGTAGGGTTTAGGTTCTTCGGGATCCAGGGTTTAGGGCTTAATTAGGGTGTAAGGTTTAGGGTTCTGGGGGTTTAGGCTTTAAGTACCACATAAGCCTATGTTTGACTGCAGGTGCACTGGCCGATGCTTTCTCACGTGCGTCCCAGTCACAGGATGTGATAGCCCAAACCGACGCCGGCAAGAGCCACGCCTTTCTGGATGCACGACCCTAAACCCTAAACTCTAAACCCTAAACCCTAAACGCCCTAAACCAAGCCATTATCGGACCCTTAGCCCCAAAACCCTAAACCCTAAAAGCCCTCAATGAAACCAGCGAAAACTAAGCCTCGAAGCCTGAAAGGGATAGGAGTCGGGTCATCCCAAGACCCTAAGGCACTAAACCCCAAACCCCAAACCGCCCGATAAAACCTATAACTTCATGGCCCCTTTCAAGAGGCATCTTTTCAGTGTAGCTTGGTGGTTTTCATAAGGGTACCAAAGATGTTTTTATCCGGGATGCAAGAAAGGTTGCGACACGGTTTAGGGTTTCGGGTTGACGGTTTAGGGATACCATAAGGATTTTGGGTTTCGGGTTTGGGTCTGGGTTTTGGGCTATGTGGCTGAGGGTTCGGGTTTGGGCGGGGCCTTGAAGGCACCCTACTTATCACCCTACTTCCTGAGTCCCTTGATCCTCCAGGCACCCAAGCCATGCAGCCTCGACATTCACCGTAAACCCTTAATTTTGGTTTGGCCTTTTCTTTGTTGTTGCAGTAATGACTGCTAAGGAAGCCACGGCTCTTGCAAAGAATCCTGTTCCATGACGGTAGCATGCATGCTTGCTGTTCTTTCGTTGTGTCTTACCATGGATCTTGTTGTCTCTCTGCCCAGGGTTTACGGTGGCGAGGCTCTATAGTTATATCTAATGACAATCCAAGGAAGGTGCTTGCAGTATAAGCCGAGTTACTCAGTCCCCTGAACCTCCAAGAATATCTACATCCGACTTCTTGGGGTCCGGACAAAAGCAAAGCAGGGCCGCTGCGCGATACCTTTGCAGACAGGGACGGTTGCCAGGACAATTCCACCAACTGACACAGGGGAATTACCAATACTATTTTGGGGGTTCCTTGATATGTTTATGGTATCATGGGCGCCAAAACCCTATTCTAATTAGTAAGGCCCCTAAACCCTAAACCCTTATAGTCGCCCTTATAGAACCCTTTAAGGAACCCTTTAAAAGGAACCACCGACAACCCTATTCTAATTATTAAGGCCCCTATATTACTGTGAGATAACGCTCACGACCCGAAGCCCTCCCAATCCCGACGAGGAAGACGGGGCGGCAGCGGCAGCAATGAGCAAAAGATGCAGCGCATCACAACAAAAATAACAGATGGTTTAGAGTTTAGGGTTTAGGTTTTAGGGTCTAGGGTTTAGGGTTCAGGGTTAAGGGTTTAAAAAACGTCCAACACAAATACAACCATCCCGAAGCAGGCTAAATTAATCTGAGCCGGGGCACGGCAGCGCTCTGTCAAAGTCTGCAGCGATGGCCTCATACACCATCACCCATTGCTGGTTCCTTCGGAGGATCAGGTTTGGGGCATTTGTCGGGCTCTACGGTTGATGATATAAGCCCTTCACTACCCATAATAAGGAGTATACCATAATTCCCATAGTTTTGTGTCCTTAATGCAATGCAGGATTTATAGCGTAGTTGTCAAAACTATGGTCCCTTTTGGAGTACCCTAAATAATAGGTGCCGTATTATAATAAGGACCCCAAAAGGGACCATAATTTTGACAACCACCCATATCGTCAACAGTAGTTGCGTGGACTCAGGGGTTGGTGGGGGGGCCGAATAGTTTTCCATAAACCCTAAACCCTAAACCCTAAACCCACGGTTTAGGGTTTTGGGTTTAGGGTTTAGGGTTTAGGGTTTAGGGTTTAGGGTTTAGGGTTTAGGGTTTAGGGCCTGAACCCTAGCCCTAAACTCTAAAACCTGAACCCTAAACCCTAAAAACCTAAACTCTACACCCTAAGCCCTGACCCTTAAACCCCAAACCCTGAACCCTCAACTGTAAGTTTCGAAGGTGCGGGCTGCCAGTGGGCTGCAAGGGTGACTGTCATTCGGGGTCCTTAAATAAACAGACTTGGGGTATGTTATAGCTGCAGTAGAATGGAGAACCCTAAGAAATAATATTGGTAGTCATTCCGGCTTTCATGTCATCGCAGTTTCTCAACTTCCGGGCCCCCGCCCACTCCTGATGCGCTCCACTTTCTCCGCCACACCTGCATCGATGCGGAGCTGCTCCTGCCAAGCCGCATACTGGGTAGGCCTGAAACCCCAAACCCTAAAACCCAAACCCTCAACCCTAAACCCTAAACCCTAAACCCCTAAACCCTAAAACCCTAAACCCTAAAACCCTAAACCCTAAAACCCTAAAACCCTAAAGCCTTAAACCCTACAACCCTAAAACCCGAAACCTGGGGCGCAGGATTCAGGGCGCGGCTTCTTGAGCCAGATTGAACTCAACTGCGAACCTACCTGAAGGGTTTAGGGTTTAGGGTTTAAGGTTTCGGGTTTAGGATTCTTAACCCACCAGAACCTACTTTTTTGTAGAATCCCTATAAATCCCATATGAGGGTTTATAATAAGAACCTACAAAAAAGTGGGTTTTGGTATGTTGAGGGTAGATAGCTGTTGAGGTTCGAGAGCCTCAGC